CATCCAAATAATCATCCCCATCTTCAAAGCAGAGGATCCTAGCTTTTTTATAAACTACAGACCAATTTCTTTGATGTCTGATTTTAACAAAGTTTTCGAAAAAGTCATATACAATCACCTAGTAGAATTTTCCGAAAAGCACGATAACTTTATCGCTGTCAATTTGGATTTCGGAAAAATCACCCGACATCGAACGCGCTAATTCATTTGGTAAATAAAATTGCTTCTGCAATCGACCAACACGAAACAACGGTGGGTGTTTCCCTAGATCTTTCCAAAGCATTCGACACTCTCGACCATCAAATCTTGTTTGCTAAACTGGAGCCGACTATGGTATCCATGACGTGGCTCTGCAGTGGTTTAAAAGCTACTTTTTTTTCCGTCAGCAATTTGTCCAATTCAATCACGCTTGCTCTCCAATGCAAACCATCTGTGTGGTGTCAGTCAAAGTTTGATTTTAGGCCCACTATTGTTTATTCTATACTTTAATGACCTCCCTTAAACACCTCTGAATTGACAGCCCTCTGCTTTTCGCTGATGACACCAGTATCTTTTATTCTCACTCAAACCCAAATTGCTTAGAATCGGTACTTAATGATGAACTCCAAAATATTGATGTTTGGCTAAGATTTAATAAGCTTTCAGTGATATAAAGAAAAATAACTACGCCATTTTTAAACCCAGACAGAAGAAACTTAACTCTAGCATTTCTCTCTCCTTTGAAGGTAAACCTCTGCAACAATCTAATATAACTAAATTCCTCGGGGTCTATATTGACGATCATCTCACCTAGAAACACCATATCAGCTATGTATAAATCAGTTGGTATGTCTAAATCAATTGGTATGTACAAATCAATTGGTATTATATTTAGGTCTCGCTTTTTTCTATCCTCTACAACCAAACTCACTTTGTACAACACCTTAATTCATCCTCGTATCGTCTATTGTAACTCCGTCTGGTCGTCCACATACGTACCGAACTTAAATAGAATCTATTATTTGCATAAGCGATCTGTGCGGGCTATCCCCAACTCATAATATCGAGCGCATTCCGCTCCTTCATTCTCCAAATTAGGAATTTTAGATATTTTTCGAGTCAATACGTTTGAAATTGCCAAATTCATGTTTTATTAAAATATAACTTATTTCCCTCATTGCTTCTCAATCTTTTTGTAACAATTAGCCAAATTCACAACTATGGTACCAGAACAGTAGGTAATTATTGAGCGCATTTGTGCCGTACAATTCTTAAACAATTTACAATTCTCTGACAAGGTCCTAAACTTTGGAACTCTCTTCTTATTTTAGTCACTCGTTCGTCAAACCTTCCTAGCTTTAAGACAAAAATGCAAGAGTTTTTCCTTGAATAATCACTGGATTGGCCAGGCCGCTCATTTGCAGCACTTTTTCTCTACTTGACTTATTATTGTAAGTGAGGTGGCTCTCCCATAAGCCCGGTGGCTTCTTGGGTCTCCTTAACTTCTAGCTGTTATCGCTGTAAATAAATCATTGTATTCTTAAAATAAGGCAAACAAAGATGATGATGATGATGATAATGATGATGATGATGATGATGATGATGATGAAAATAGCGTGACCACTGCCACCACAAAATGAGCGCCCCCGCCTGTGCAACAAAATTGAGCATTTCATTTGTTGTCAGTCATGAATACAACAAGCTATACTTGACAATGCGAGATGACTCTCTTAAACAATTGCTTGGCCCCCACAATGCCAATGAAATTGACTCAAATGATATTGTAGAGAAACTACTTTTTCTTGACAACATAACCATTACATACACAAACACCAACAAAGTCTCCTATATCACAGTTTGAGCGATCTGTGGACTAGTCATTTTCATCTTACCGTTGTTGTTCTTCCTTCGTTGATATAAAGTAACAATGGAAATGGCCCATGATGAAATGCAGATCAAACGAAGTTACAAAGAGTTTGGTGTTTACAGACTAACACGTTTGTCTATTCTTATCGTTGTTGTTTACATTCGTTCCGTACCGTTCCATTGATATATACAAACGCAATGAACAATGGGAAATAGGTCATCATTTGAGGAGCTAAATCCTAATCAACAAGATACAATAACTCATAATAACTGGTGTCACAAACTGACTCCTAAGTTTCGACTTTGATTGTCTTTATTGCCGTTGTTGTTTTTTCGTTAATTAAAGGAAAAAAACACAGCGGTAGCTCAATTAAGTATTTGTTTGACAATATTCATCAATCTGAGTCAAAGATAATGGAGTAAAAAATGATGTTACTCACATAATGCATAAACACATCTTGGACACAGTTGAATTTAATTATTTCCTTTACTTTGTAGTAAAGTGCCTTCGCTGAACTCAGCCTTAAAAACAATTAGAGACATGCAACTATTCTTATCATTTGTTAATTCTCCCTCAATTATTTTTCAACTATATGCTCGCTGTCTTATTCACTTGAATATATCCGTGTAATTAAGACGATATATGACGTTTACAACACTTATCGTCTCTCCTTCATTTCCATTTACTATATCCTAGATCTATGATACACTTTTCGGGGTTAGCTTTTCAAGTATTATTTCTAGTTGTAATATGGCTACTGTTCTCAAACTGCATTTACTTCTATGTACATATTGCGTACCTATTTTCTACAAGTAACAACCTCCTGTGCATGAGTCTAACCTAACTGGAGCTTCTTGTTTTACTTTCGAACACGAGTGTTTTTTAAAAAGAACTGAGCACTTCATCGTACCTAGGGAAATATTTGAGTAATATTCTACATTCAAGACACTTTTAAGTGTCTTTTAAGTGTCTTTAAAAAGAGGGCAGTACTACATATTTACCAAGACTAAAGCAAACAATTTAATGGTCCTCTATTTAAGATTATGAGGTAAATAAATTAATGCGAACTCTGAGATACTGTTAGTTCTCCCTAAAAACGCGATGTAAATCTATCAGAAACGTAGCTCGATAAATGCGAGGAAATGCTAATAAAAAAAATGTACCATACTAAAATAACATTGTTGTTCCTGTTTTTCTTTGAGAATGATGTCTTCACATTTGAATATCACAATGCGCTCTACCAAGAAATCAGTAGGAACACTGATGACAGGCTAATTTTTGTAGCTAGCTTTTGCAGCAAGGACAGATGATGAGACGAACAGTGAGCCGATTCCATTTGGGAAAGCTAACTTCTCTAAAGCGAAGTAATTGTGCAGTTCCTCGATTCTAAGAAACTTATTAAGCTCGATATTTTTCAGAATTAATCAAGTTCATTTATTGCTCAAAGCAAATTTGCACCAGAAAGGGAATTGCCTGACTGTGAGGTTTTGTTGAGGAATAGAGAAAAAGAAGTTCCATTCATGTTCAAGTCCATGCCTGAGAGGAACTTTCCGATATTGATCATATACGTAAAATTCATGCAAAATTATTGAAATTTGTTGAAATTATTTGAAACAAGTTGATGAAAGAATTCTGAGGGGAGAGTGATTTTCGAATTCCATTTCCCAATCGCATCCACTCAAACGGACCCAAATAGGTATGCTCGTATGAGATCGGCAGTGCATCTGCTCTCGGCAGTTTGTTTTCGAAGAATNGAATTGCCTGACTGTGAGGTTTTGTTGAGGAATAGAGAAAAAGAAGTTCCATTCATGTTCAAGTCCATCATATGTTTACATTTCCTTGCTGGTTTCAAGGTAACTGATTTTCAGAGAAACGAGCTATTCCAGCATCTTAGCGAGCTATAGCTATTGCGTGCTAACAGCCAGAAAATGAAGAATTATTTTAGGGGAAGAGCCACTATTCGGGATCAGCATTCTCTGCTGATAACTTCTAGAGATATCTCCAATTTCAGGCATATGAGATCAAGAAACAAGAAACAGTCCTTTTGCTCTCCCTCGCAGCCTCTCTGTTTGGGATGCCATGCAACATTCTTCAGGGAGAAAAGCAATTGCTTTCAACCGATGAAATTCCCTTTCCAAGTATCGGCTGATTATAGAGGCCATTCCTTTTTGGAAGCCTCCTATACCAAATTCTCCCTCTAAAACCCGTACAATCAGGGCCGTTTTTAATGTAGCCCATCTGTGAAAAATATCGCCAACACAAATAGCGGCACTTGAAAACCCTTTAACCCAAAACTTCCTTGGTTCAAATGAGTTCAGCTTGATTCTTACCAGAGGCCTTTGACTAGTTTACGTTGAGTCGAGACAAGCTACTTAGACCTTTCTCTCCAAACAAAAAATATCGAAATCTAATTTTTTTCGAAAATGATTTTTGAGACGTGTTACAAAAAAACTGAGTTCGATTACAACCTACCCAAGTTTTAAGCTTTGTTTAGTGCGCTTCTGTAGTTCATTTATTTAACTCCCAGAAAACACCAAACGCGTGAGAAAATTAGAAATAAATGATCTCACCGAAAATGCTTTCTGCAAATTTTCTTATTGGATACGTCGAGGTCAAAGGAGGCCTAAACGATTTATGTGTTGTCGCGACGTACAGATGACCCAAACAATTTTTTTTCTTTTAACGACGAAAAACAACACCGGCAAGGTGATTATTACTAAAGAATGTAGACTATTATACTTTCCGATGCCGGATAAGCAAACTAACTACAGGCACAAAGGGAAACTGAAGAAAACCGAAGTGATGCTAACTCATAGATAATTGAGGTTATTTCATGGAAAGTTTTGTGATTAAAATTGTGACTGACTCCTGCAGGTGCGATAACCGCAAGTTCAGAATTAGAAATAAGGACGTCGAAGCACTGATTAAGAGCACTGAACCTCGTGTTGATTTCCAATGAATTAGCTTTATTACAATGTACCAATGCTCAAAACCGTCAAACTAAAATACAAACGAGAATATCTAGTCTAAGCGACATGAAAGGGAAAGGCCGAACAATAATTGGATGTGATAAAAACACGAACGCAGGAAACGGCACAACTAAACTAGAAATAACCGACGAGATGAAGCCAAAAACGTAGAAACACGTGCTTACCGATTGTCCTCTCTGTACGCCTGAGTAGTTATATACGCAAGATCCAAAGACTTCGCAACGAACGCAATAAACTTCAAGAACGCAAATTTAGACCGTACACACAGACTACTAGTAAAGACGCACGAGGTTCTGAAATACGATCTGACAGAAACGTCACTAATATCTAACCTAAACAGTTACAAAAATATTCCGAAAAAGTTGGGACATGATCTTCTTTAATGGCCCCTCTTGCTTATTTTCAACCTCTCTATAATTCAATTGCTTTATAATTGTAATCTTTTAAAAAATCTCTTTACTTAAAAATATATACGGTCTCTTGGCATGCTGTAAGACTGATATGGATAGTCGTTATTTAGATAAGCGGTATTGCCTCTGGGTAATATTACCGATAGTTCTACAAAAGTTCAATGTAGCTGCATAATTGTACAAACAATCACATTTATTATCATCTGTGGAGCTTTTGCTTCGATCCGCTTTTTACGGGAAGAGATTTGAAATCCTTTAAATAGACCTGTTTTACTGACATTCTTCGTTTTAAATTACTTTATCGCATATTTTGAGTCGACCCAGGGCATTACCAGTGGTCTACTTTATTATTCGTAAGCTATTAAATCTAGTGGTACGTATGATGCATGATCCTCGCAGTAGAGAGCGCTATCATTTATGCAATGGCGAATAACAGACCATATGATTAACTTCGAGTCGTATACTGTAATTAAAATTGATTTAATCTGATTTGTGCCCATTTACAGTACAACCCAACCTTGATGTCGATGTCGACGAAAGTCTTATCTCGCTTCAGCAATTAGTTTCAAATGTCAATCGATTAGATCAAAGGTCCACTGTACAAACAAAACATTACATAATGAATCGCTAAAACACGTGTCATTTCACGTGGGTCCGCGTTTAACATGTGCGAAGAATCTGACAGACCTGAAAAAAGTCAGGCCTATACAGGATTCGAACCACTGACCACTGCGATACCAATGCAGCGCTCTACCAATTGAGCTAACAAGCCAACTGGGAGCAGGCCGTTAAGTTGATTCGTAATAAACCCGTGATGATAAATCAGATACAATGAATATATGAAGTTCATGTATTTTGAACTGCGGTATTAGATACGTATGATGCATGATCCTC